CTGCAAGGCACGGGGAATGGGGCCTGGGAGGGCCAGGCTGCTAACCTATAGTCACATGACCCCTGAGGTCATGATCACATGTCCCTCATCTTGTTGGAGGGATTCGTTAACAGCGAGAGACCGCTGTTTCAATATCCACACAAATGAATGACAAGTGTTGACTGAGAAGTGGAGAAAGGGATCATTTGCTCACTGATAGTGGGAATATAAGTTAGTGTGGCTGTTATGGAAAACAGTATGGAGGTTCCTCAGAAATTAAAACTAGAAGTACCATATGATTAGCAGCCCCACTGCTGGGTGTAAATTTACAGGAAGTGAAGTGTCTTGGAGAGACTTCACACCCCCACGTTTGTTGTAGCATTGTTTGTAATAGTTGCGATATAGAATCAACCTCAGTGTTCATTAACCAATCAGTGAATAAAGAAAATACGTACATATGTTATTTAGCTTTTTTAAAAACAAGGAAATCCTGTCATTTGCAACATGGGAGAAGCAGGAGGTCACCATGTCACAGAGACACAAATGTCATATGGTCTCACTTTATGTGGGTCTAGAAAAGTTAATTCATAGAAACAGTAAAATGGTAGTTACTAAGAACTCGGAATGGGAGATGGAGGATGCTGGCTGAAAGATACAAATTTTCAGCTGGGAAGAATAAGCTCAAGAAATGACTACAGCTGATAACAATGTGTTGTGAAGATTGTGGAGAGGTAGATTTTAATTGTTTTCACCACAGACAAAAAAATGTGCATGAGGTGCTGCATGTGTCAGTTCACCTGATTTAGCTATTCCACAATGTATGAATACTGTTTCAAAACACATGCACATAATAAATATATGCAAATCTCATTTATTAAAAACAAGTAAACACTAACCTAAGGGCTCCATCACAGAGCCATTCTGGGCTGCCTGAGCCATTGGAGGGAGCCGTTGGGCCTCTGTACCCCTTCCTCGTGTTCCCATCTGCACTGGGCTGGGGCCTCACTGCCACACGGAAATAGCTGCCCTGGAAAAGACTTAGCCCTCAGAAAGCAGCGAAGAACACTGGAGACTTCCAAGTCTGGAAAGGGTCCAGACAGGGTGCTTAACTTTGGGGGCCTGTGAGCTGACAGAACTACATAAATACTGTGCAGGCATGTATTTCAGTTTTCAGTACCTTCTCCAAGGGGTCTGTGACACAACAGTCAGAACCACTGTTGAAATGAGCTGGAAAACTCAGTTGTCTTCCACACACTTGTGGAAAGCCTTGGATTTGGGAGGGAACATTTGTGTGTCTTTGCACCAGGCTGAGTGCAGGGGTACAGTGGTGGAGGAGACACTGTCCAGCAGCTCTGAGACCACCGGGCTGTCCAGCAGGACCAGGACTCCGTAGGGTGATGTGAGGGGAGGCCACGCAGCTCGCCTCTTGGAACACTGTCCAGTCCCAGATTCTCCCGTGAAGAACCTGTAAAGGAGCAAGCTGAGCTTCTTGAGGAAAATTAAGAAAACCAGACTGATAGGCTCCAGAAATTAGTGTTAGAATCTGAGAGTGGTGTACCTGTTTCTTGACGAAGCAGAGATGCTGTGGTTGTGGAGATGGAAACTGGGTCCCAGGAAGCCATGAAGAACTTCCAGAGAGCTGGTTGGTTTGCCTTGGAGAAGATGGAATCAGAAACATGGAGCATCTGACTATGATGAGGGAGCAGGGCAAGGAAAGCAGGACTCTCTGGTTGCTTAAAAGTTCATATTCTGCCTGCAAACCCTGAAGTCCAAATCACACTTTGGTCTGAACCTGTGATTTCTGGAAGTTTGTTCCCACCTGGCCCTTGAGCCGTCAAGCCAGCTCATAGGCTGAGTGCTTGGAGAAGGAGAAACAAGCAGCTCTCTATTCTCGAAAGGCTCCTGTAATGTAAATAGGAACAGCAATCTTTCCAAGTTATTACCCTGTTAACAGGTTGACAGATATGTGCAAATTGTGACTCACTGCTCAATTTGGCACCAAATTAATGTCTTTCCGCGCCACGTCTGCTCAAGTGTAAACTAGTCACCACTGCTGTGTGACTGCTTGTTTGCCTATATTCCAAAGGTAAAAATTAAAGTGATTTGATTCTGCACAGAATGGAATGTGGCATATGGTGGCAGTGTGGGAGGAGAGCACGCTGTTCCTACCTGTCCTCAGCCCTGCTTGGGGCAGCTGAGCTTTGTGCTGGAGCATCACGGCCTGGGGTGCGGCCAAGGACCTCCTCCCCTGCTGGCCCCACCCTCAGCAGGAAGAAAGCCTCTTCTGTCTCCAGACTTTCCATTTGCCACTTGTGCTGGTTTCTGTCTCGAAGGCTGAGTCTATTTTAAAAAGGAAGTGTTTTGATTTTTACTTCTTGAATCTAGACATTGTTTTCTTCTGCTAAAGCTACAGCTGACTTTCTCTCCTTCTCTTTCTGGCAAATACCTAATGTCACCTGTAACAAAGAAATTTGCATTGCCTTTGTGTAGGCATGTGAATGAAAAAGTCTTCTTAAAATGTGCTTTTGCCTAATAAAATCTTTGAATTGAGTCTGCTGAGCTTTATCTGAAATCACTGCTTGGGGAAGCAACAAAAACAAAAGATCCAGCCCAGACCTTTCTGCTTCCCCCTGCCAACTGCAGATATTTTTCCTGGGTTCTGTTTTTCTTCTGCAGCTGCCTCCCCTTTTGAATAAAGGCCCGGTAGATAAGGACTTAGAAATGGCTGGAATCTGTTATGTGCCCACACAGGATGCTGGCCCTCCAGTCAGGTAGTTGCTATGGAATTCTGGGAGCCCACACACTGTGCTTGGTTTCTGGCTCTTGTGTGACCTGTTTTCCTAGCCTGCTGAAGAGACTAGTTTTCCAGAGTGGATTTGCAAGGCTTCAAGGTGAAAGGTACAAGGGAGAGCAAACCATGATGTTACCTTTGCACTGAAGTGCTGCATATTCATTTGCTTTCTCCTGTCCGGGGCTATGATGGCTATTGATTGAGGATCAGCTCAGAATACATCGCCTGCCCCTCTCATTAGCATGTACTTAGCGGTGACCTCCATTCACACAGGACAGTGGATTTTTGCTTCCTGCTGAGTTGGAAGAAACTAGGTTTAAGACACACAGAGTTAGGACAGAAGTTTATAAATGCAGAAGTGTTTCAGGGGCCTGGTGTAAACTTGTGGCATGAAGTTTTGTGAAGTGTCTCCCTCTGTTTCAGTAGCCATTGATGGTGTGAAAAGTGAGCTGATTTCCTCCTTTCTTCACCGTTCACTTTTGGTAGCGTTGAAGCTTAGATGCAAGGCTGTACACAGTGCAGCTGTGACTAGGAGGAGGCCAGGCACGAGGGTGTGTGTGGTCTTGTCTCATAGCTGCCTGGGAACATTGTTCTCTAGACCATTACCGAAGCAACAGAACAAGGCCTTCCTTTAAGAAACACCCTTGCTCTTTCTAAGCAGGTTCTCCTTTGGATGCCTCCCCTTCATGTTGTGGTCCTTTCAAGAGAGGGAAGATGACAGGTGTTGGCACTGTACTGTCTGTAGAAGCTGTGGCCTGCTGTGGCCTGGGTGGGTACCAGAGCCTCCCACTCCGCCCAGGAGCAAGCAGTGCCCTCGGGCCTCTCTCCCCCTGCGCTCTGCCCTCCTCAGTCGCCACCGGCCTGCTGTCCTTATGCCAGGTGCCCTTCAGTGTGAGCTTAAAGCTGCACATAACGCTCACTGAGGAAACCCTGGTGAGCTGGTCTGCAGGCTTAGTTTCTGACTCTCTCCGAGTGGATGTGTTAGTGTTCACTGTCTGATAAACGGCATTATGTTGTCTGCTGTCTCTCATGAGCCACGGGTTTCGGAGTGAAATCTCTTCATGTTGCACACGAAGAGCTTATCTCTTCCTTCCCCCGGAGAGAGCAATTACCCTCCCCTGACTTAATGGATGTGTAATTTAATTTGTCATATCCAATGGATATAAAAATCTAATGCAAAACCCTTCATAGATAGTTCTGCGTCTCAATTCTTCTCCATCCCCCGTGTGCCCGGTGTGATTAGGTGATCACACACACTAGTGTGATCTTATTCTCCAGGGGCCTGAGCAGACACACACGTGTTTGTGCTGAGGGGCTGGCAGCTCACAGTGAGCCATCCACCACAGGGGGGACTCGTCTTGCTGAGAGGGAGCACTTTTGCAGAATAGTCCCTGGTGTGGTAGAACTAGAAAAAGGAGCGCTTAGAATCTGAGTCCCTAATATGTGCCGGACACCACGCCAAGTGCTTGATGTCTGTGGTCTCAGTGATTTATGGGATACAGGTACCATTTGGGCCAGAAGGGCTCCATTTTGGTAGCTTGCCTGATAGGTTTCACTGTAGTAAGAGAGATTTTAGAGTCAAAATTTAGGAATAAAATAATAGTTATGTAAAAAACTAATAAAATAAAAACATAAAATAGACCTTCAGGAAAATAGGAAGCTATATAAGTAAATAAATTAGTCATAAGCACCTATGTGGTTCTGTTTTTAAAACTTAAAGCAGAGATCGTGGAATCTAAGCACAGTAGTGATTTCAGCAAAAGTTGTGCTATACTATAATTTGAATTAGAATCGACTGGTAAAATAGGAATGACTCTGGGCATTTAAGACAGAGGAATTTATCCCAAGGAATTGGTTACTCAGTGACTGGTGGCCCCGAGAGGGGAGCAGCAGGGGAGCCCCAGCCCGGACGCCCAGCCCCAAGCGCCCCGGACAGAGGGCAGGGAGGGAAGGGGACTCAGCGGCACTCTGGTCTCCTGTAGGAGAGAGTGGGCCGCGGCTTAATTCAAAACACTTCATTTAGAATACAGAAGTAAGTATCATAAGAAATCACTAAAAATGGTCAGGTCCAAGAAGGCAAGGTGAGGAAGAAAGGAGTGATGTTTTTTCACAAGAAGCCTTACAGTACTGTTTGCTTTCATTAAAATGCATCACATTGATAAAAATTGTACTTGGAAGTGCAGCCTTGAGTAGGGCTCCTGTTCACACATTTGTTTCTTTTCCCTACTAGATACGTTGACGATGTGATCAGCCGCATCGACAGGATGTTCCCTGAAATGTCCATCCACCTGTCCAGACCCAATGGGACATCAGCGATGCTTCTGGTAAGACCTCCCTGCTTGGAAGGAAACTTGCCTTCCAAGTAACTCCGGCCCTGCTCGGTAGGGTCTATCGACAGGAGATGAAGTCCCCATGTGATGGCGAATAGTGTATTTTCTTTACTGGAGTTCTGTGGGTTAAAAATTCTGTACTTTGAATCCTTACTTTTGAAGAAAATTGCAGACTCATGTGAGAGTTAACCAGAGAGGAAAGACACTGCACTGTCACTTTAAGTCACTTCATGAGCAAACACACCACCCGATAACATCGCAGTGAATCTGTTTTATAGTTTTCAAAGGGGTGCATTAGACACAAGTAATGCTCAGCTACTAGATCCTGCTAAAAAAAACCACTCTTCTAAAACAGAAGCAGCTTTCATGGAAGTCAATTATAAGAACATCACGTAAGGGTCGGGATATAGCTCAATGGCGCTGCGCCTGCCTGGCAAGCGCAAGGTCCTAAGTTCCATCCTGGGTACCAAAACAATAAAAAAGAACATCACATAAATGAAGAAAGTTTCTGAGTCACCAATGACCTCTGGTTTTGTTCTTTTTGATTTGGTTTTGTTCTGAGCAGCTTGGCCTCACAAGCTCTCCACTGATGTTTGTATTTTTATGAATTCACCAAGGACAGTATGTTTTGGAAATACAGTAGACCAGAAATGGTAGGTCATGCTATAAGGTGTGATCAAAAAATACAGTGAATGTGTAAATATTTTTTTCTCCCCTAAATTATTGCAGCAGAAGGTACATTGCCATGAATCTCTCTCAAAATCCTCCTGGTCACTTTGAACATACTTATCCCATCATCCTTGCCACCTTCTGAAGTAGTTCTGGAAGTCCTCTTTCGTGAGTGTCTTAATGTCCTGAATTCTTTCAAAACATTTCCCCTCAGGGCCAGGGATTTTGCTCAGTGACATCACACCTGCCTGGCAACTGCAAGGTCCTGAGTTTGATCCCCGGTACGCACAGTGCCACATCTGCAGAATAAGGACACACCATGTTTTTATGAGCCTGCCTTTCCATTGGATGACACTCAGCAGCAGCGTTCACCCTGTTTTTGATCATACCTGGTAAACACACAAAAAAGACTTTAAGAACTGCTTCAGAAAGTGACAAGAACAATGAGATAAGTGGGTTTGGAGCAAGGGGGTGGATTTTGAAGGGATTAATGGTGGCGTATCTTTTACTGTAATACTTTTTAAAATTCAAACATTTGCTGTACATTTTGAACACTCCTTATCAGTGCTGCCACCTTAGAGCTGGTGGGCACTCCCCAGTTTTAGCATTTCACTTGTGTGAATCCTTCCACATACGCAGTCATCCAGACCAGCTGCTGTTCGCTCGAGCCATCCGTCTGGAGGCCCTGGCTGGCGTGTGTGCACACTCGCTTTTCTCCTAATGGAGGGTGTGAGCTTGTTAAGTGTGCAGTCTCCGCTTGTGAAAAAAGTGGGTGAAGCTCATTTGGGTAATGTGCTACTTTTCTATAAAATTCTTTCAGTTAAAATATAGAAAAGGGGATAACAGTGTTCTTTGGATAGAAAAAGAAAAGAATTTTCCTTCTATAAAGGTATCTGTCTACAAAACATGCAGTATTTTCTGCTTCTGTTAAATGTATAAATTGCCTACATGTTAACATCCTCTAGGCCAGGGATTTAGCTCAGTGGTTTTGCCGCCTGCTGCGCAAGCACAAGGACCTGAGTTCGATCCTTGGTACCAAAAAAAAAAAACCACATCCTCTAGATCCCAGGACAAGAGAGTTAATGAAGATAAAAACGAACATGTCCTTCGTGAAATAGGTTTGTTCAAATTATTTCTGGGTCACTGGGCTTCCATCTCACGATAAGGGTAGGAATCTGCAGTGAAGCGGTTGGCGGAGTGCGGGTATTGTCAGCAGACAGGCCAGGGACATTAGTTACTCCTGCCTGAGAGAGCAGGCTTCCGATTCACAATGCTTTCCATGGGGTTCGGTTCCAGTAGGTTGATGGGGGCCGGGGCGCCGTTCAAGGGAACAGGCCCCTGCGTTTGTAGCTCATGCACAGTGGCTCGTTCAGATCTGTGCATCTGGCTGCCTGATTCTTATCTGTCTTCAGGGATACAGGCACTCACAGCCAGCAGTGCCTGTTTATAGGGAAGGGTGACTAGACTCAGATCACATGGCCAGCTGGGTAGTCACACATGGGACAGAATCACTTTATTTGGCTTCTGCTTTTGAAAGTGGTGTTTTCTTAGGTTTCGAGTCTCTGAGCAGTTTGAGCTGCCACTCCAGGTCCTGTGAGGGGAGTGGAAGGGCGTCCTCACCTTGGAGGGAAATCGGGTCGGACAGCTGCCACCTCCCCACAATCTCTGCTGGTCCCCGTGCCCAGACGTCAGTGGGCACCTGGGCCATCAGCACAGCAGCAAGGCAGAAGGTGTGGGCAAGAGTTGGAAGTGTTTCTGGAGATGAGTCTGGAACACCGTGTATTCTGGGTGGCTTGAGCAGCCAGCGAGACTGGTGTGAAAGGCCCTTAGGAGGCTGCTAGAGCAGGACCGGACCAGACACACACACACACACACACGCACGCACGCACGCACGGAGCCGTCTCTACCCAGGACCCTGCCCCTCAGGCTGAAGAAGTGCGGTGCTTGTGCCTTGTAAAAAGGGTAGCCCTTCCCCCGGAAGCAGGCTTCCTTACATTCAGAGGGCCGAAACCTGGCCTAATTCAAGGAGGCAAGGAAAGGGCTGGCTTTTGTTGTTGCATTGTGGTTTCATAATGCGAGGTGCTGTGCCATGGGGGATGGAAACCAGGGTAGCTCCAGACATGGAACCAGAGAGTGTCCTTTGGGGGCCTAAGGGCCCAAATGACTTGTCATCGAGGCCTTCGAGCGGAGGGAGGGGAAGCGAGAGCAGCAGTCTGCGCACGGTGACAGGTGAACATCACATTCGCCTCGCTGGGTCCTCCCAGCAGCCTCTGGTAGTCCCGACTGTCTTCATCTGACGGAGAAGGCTGGCCTCGCTGCTCTGGCTCCTGCAGCTGGGACCCAGCCCAGCTCAGACACAAGCGCAGCTCGTGTGGGGGCGTGAGAGTTGCACTGCCAGACCTCAGGCTTGGGATTTTTTTTTTTCCTTAAACATTTTTATGTCATTTGAGTGATACAAAGAAATGTATGTAATGTATATGTCAATTATAAAGCACAGATAAGCCCATGAGCTCACGGTGTGAATTTGAGAAGCAGAAGAGAGCCAGTGTGTGCCTCTCCCCGACCCCTGCCTCTCCACCTGAGGTCACCTCCAACCTAGGGCCGCCCCCTTTCTCCCTCTCACAGTGTAGTTTGCGTCATGTGTGTGCATCTGTAAGTATCCTGAGTCTGAGCTTTATAAAAATAGCACCTGCTACGTGCACTGTATCTGAGGTGGGTCCTGTGATCGGCGGCATCTGTTAGTTTGATCATCTTCATTGTTGCCTAATAGTCCATTCTGTACCCCACTTTATTCTCTCTCTTGTCGAGATATCTTTCCAGTGTAGGGTCTTAAATAATATTGTCATAAGCATTCCAACACACACACACACACACACACACACACACACACACACACACACACACACACATACACACACACCCAGGATATTTTTGTTTGTTTGTTGAAGTACTAGGGATTGAACCTCATACCTGCGTACTGAGCTAGATCCTGCACCCTTTTAAAAATGTTTTATTGTGAGACAGGGTCTCAGTAGGCTGGGGTTGAGTTTGCAGTCCCACTGCCTCAAGCCTTGGTCCAAGCCAGGGACGGGAGAGAGCAGTGGGGGACCCTTCTTCCTAGGAGTCACCGCATTATGAAGTGTGACACTAGCCCCTGCCCAGTTATCCTCATGGGCCCCCGAAGTGGCTCCTGGTAGCAGGCATGTCCCCCAGCAGCGTGTTCCATGGACTTTGCTGCTCTTCTGAATCTCTTTGACTTTGGTGAATGAGAGTAGAGGGTTCTCGAATTCCTCGTGCATCTGTCTGCATGGGAAAACAGCAGAAGCCATTGAACTCCAGCCAGACCATAGACAAAGGCCAGTTCGGTGTCCTCCCTTGCTGTGCTGCCGGTGCCAGACAGCTGAGAGCCTGTGCGGTACAGGATGTGAGCTGCAGCTCGAGGGCCCAGGGCTGTCACCATCAGTCTGCAGTGCAGAAGGGGTCGGAGAGCAGCGCAGAACTGACACTTGGGAGCCTTCTGTTTTAGGAAGTTGAGGTCAGTTTGGCTCATCTGCGGGCTAACCAGCCTCTCACTGTTGGCCAGGAGGCACCGTCAGAAACAGGAGCATCACCTTCCAGCTCGGGGTGGTGGTTGACCCGGAAGGACAAGTTCAAATCTTCTTCACCTCGGGGACCTACAGAATGTGCACACATCAGAGATGAGATAGAGGAAAGGCGGGAAGGGAAGACAGGCACTTGTACACGTTTCCTGAATGCATACACTCTAGGCGGAAAGCAGAGCACCTGTCATGTTGGCCGGAATGGGGCTCTGCTCTCAGGCTACTCGGTAGAGCCCGGGTGAGACATCGGTAACTAGTTTGATCCTGAAACCAACAGGACAGTTATTGGCTTAGCTTGTGCTGTCTTTGTGAGCCTTGGGTAATCAGCTGTGGCCTGCACACTCCACATCCTGGCTAATGTGACAGCTCAACTTCAAGCCGCTTATGTAATCTTGAACTGCGCTGTGGCTCTCTGCTCCGTTTGGGGGCCGTTCTGGTGTTGTGTAAGTTAATAACTCATCATCTAATGAATCCTGCTTCTGTTCTTTGAAGGGATGAGCTCAGTCATCCAAAAATAAATCTAGCTATGTTGATATTTAGTTTCAGTTCATCTACCGCCTAACATCCCATTATTAATTTTCTTCAAACAGTCAAAATATTGTAAGAGCTTAACTGAGTCAGAGACTGGAACAAGCTGCTGGCTTCTCTCAGCATTTAAAATATTAATCTCCAATTTTGACAGAGCCACTAAGTATAAAAGTGTAAGAAAAGAAGAAAAGGTTCTGT